TGAAAATCTCACGAAGAAGAAGAAGTCTGCGACTTTGTGATTTTTTTTTTTTTTGAATAATTACATAATTACAATTTTTGCCATTAATGAAACGGGCGGGTCGCGCAGGGTCCGCGTTTTTGCACTCGGATCCTGACAAAAAAATGTCTGAAATTCATCCCAAAATTACTGAAATTGTCACTGCATATGTACAAAATTACCCTTTTTAATTGAATCTCTTTAGTTAAATATCAATGGCAATTTGAGTAATATTGGAATCAATTTTGGACATTTTTCTAAATGTACTTCTGTTTTAATATTATAGAGATATACACGTTTCCAAAACGTTTCCGTTTCCTTTTTTTTAAAGAAAAATCGTTTCCGCGTTTCCTAACGTTTCGCTTCCGCGTTTCCGTTTCCATGCAGCTTAGTTAATAACAAGGTAAATGGTATAGCTGGATCGATGCAATGTGTTCTATAGTTAGCTATTTTTATCACTATACATGATTAAATATCTAACTATTCGTATATAACTAGTGAACTATTTTAGTTAACTATATTTAATTATGAGTGTTATCTAGTTAACTATCTTCTTGATAAACGTAAACTAAAAGATATACAATTATAAAGATTTTGTAAACATTATATAGTTAACTATATTATTACAACTGAATTAATTATTGTAAATATTATATAGTTTAATATATTATTAATTGAATGGCTAACTACAAACAACATAAAAATTATGAATATAGTCAACTATACGAAGTAAAAATTTTAGCTAACTACAAACAACATATAAAGTAGGAATATAGTCAACTATACGAAGTAAGAATTTTAGCTAACTACAACAATGTAGAAAGTATGAATATTGTCAACTATACAAACTTCTTATTGCTTTTGAGATCCTTCGACTACATTAACATAGAAAGTAGAAATATAGTCAACTATACATCTGTTTAAAACCATAGTTGGAATTTTAACTAATTACAACAACATAGAAAATAAGAATATAGTCAACTATACTAGCATATGATATTGTATGTTAAAAATAATTGCAAGGAATAAGCAACTATCAAATAAAAGATTTTTAAGGATTTTAAATGATCGACAATAAATATTTGATATGATTTTTTTTACCATTTTTTTTGGTCAAATTTCGCAGGGACAAATTAGTCCAGTTTTTTCTTCTTTCTTCTAAATACTTAAATTTTATTATGCACATAGTAGTTAACTAATTAACTACCCAGAGCTAATAGTATTAAGGTAATTAACCCATAAATAAAAGCGTGCAAGAAGATCACGTGACACGTTACAGTTTGTTATAACAAAACAAAAAAGTCTCCATTCACGCTCACTTGATTTGTTACCTTTTTCAGTCTCCCTCATTGGCCAATTTTAGATCCGTTTCCTTCTTACCTTTCACCTTCTCCGATGTTATCGCCGGCGAAATGTGAGTCAGAAGAAACCACCACAGCTCAATTTGATCCCCATTCTTCTTCTTCTTCTAGATCCGAACCTCAACATCTCTCTCTCGTTCTCTGGTTACCGAATCCCTCCCGCGAAGAAGCTCCTCACTCCTCTAGTACGAAGATTAGTAAGAGTAGATCCACGAAAGAGAGTATAGGAGAAGGTAGTGGTGGTAAGTCGCCGATGCTGATGCTGACGAACAGTTTTCAGGTTCGGAGGTCGCCGAGATTTACGCCGGTGAGTGGAGAAATCGACAATGTATGTTCGGTTCCGGTCACCGGAAAGTTTGGGTCGAGGAAGAGAAAGAGTAGTCGTGCTATCGATAAGGTTAGTCGCGAATTTTTTTGTTCGAAGTAGCTACGCAATACAATGTAGCTTACTTAGAGGCTAGAGTGTATAATCATCGTTTTGATTTTGTGGATTTTGGATGCAGAAGGAAAGCTTAGAATCTGAGGGATTATCATTCAAGTAAGTAAAAGTTTCAGAGCATTTGTTAATGAGTGTTATTGGAAATGCACATTTTAGCTTTGTTTTCATCTGTGAAATTGATGCAGAGACATAGCTGCGATTGCCAAGAGCTTGGAGATGGAAACAGTTTCAGAGTCTCAAGATAAGAACGACAATGCTGAAGGTAGACCGCAAGTTTCAGCTAAGAAGAAAGTGGACAGTGATACATTATCTCCGAGCAGCACGCGTTCTGACCAGAGTATCAGCAGCAATAAACAAATGAGAAGATCTCCAAGATTCACTAAGGGAATGGAGAATAAGGGAGAAGAAGATATAGGCAAGTCTAAAGAGCAAGTTAAGCCTGTGGCATCTCGGAACCAATCCATAAGATCTCCAAAGCTATCTGGAGTTGTTGAGAATGGCCATAGAGAAACTTTAAACACGATAAAAAATTGTGGCCCGGCATTATATGGTGCAAAAATGGTGAGAGGAACTGAGAAGCTGGTTCAAATTAGTGAGAATGGTAACTGTTGTGAGGCTATAAAGAAATGTGAAGTTGGTGATGGGCTTGTTTCATCCAAGAAAAAGCTATCAAATTTGCCTTCTGGTTGCATCAAGCCAACTGTAAATGGTTGTCGGGACAAGTCATTAGGAAAACTCAGATCTTCTGACCTAAAGGGTGATATTCACTCTGGCTCTTTGGCAAGAAGCGAATATGGTCCGAGTAATGGATTAACAATGAAGACCGCGTTAGTGAAACAAGAGTCAATGGAGTCTTCACTTCAGGGTAAAACTAGTGATTGTGATGCTGCGGATAAGGGAACAACTGAGGAGATGCATGCAAATTCTACTGTGATCTATATCTCTGACACCGATGAACAGCCGGCCAAGAAGACTAAAATTTCAGCTAAATATTCGTGTATAAAAAATTCAAATGGAGATATTTTCGGACAAACTGCAAGTGGATCTACCCTCTCCTCAGGGGAAAATGGGAGACTCCCATCATTGAATCAGAATAATCCAACTCAATCAACCAAGGGAAAGGGTGAGCGGGTGACCCGGACTGCGGTCAATGAGCAGGAAAAACATAGTGTCTGCTTTTTCATTGGTGAGCCAATTCCCTGCGAGGAGGCTCAAGAAAGATGGCGCTGGAGATATGATCTCAAGGTATTGCTTTGCACTTGACCACTTTAGTTCTCATTGTGTTCATAAGTTACAAAGTTTATTTGAGCATAGTCTAGTGGCGTGTAGATGACAAGTTAGTGTCTTTGATGGTCCCATCAGATAGTCTCCATTTATTAAGTCCAACGTAACAAAGACATTATTTTTCTTTTCACTCTCGAAATATCTGCTTCATTCTGATCGTGAATATCTGCTTCATTCTGATGGTGAATTTCAATTATTTTCAGGAACGCAAATCTAGGATTAGAGGCCAACAGTTAGAGTAAGTACTAAGTGTCTTATCACCTCACTGTTTTTTCTAAAGTATTCTTACTTCATATTTCGTTTGTTCTACTATACATTCATTATTTTGAGTATTTTTTTGAAGAGATGATGAAGACAAGATTGTTGCAAATGTGGAATGTCATTATTCGCAAGCAAAAGTCGACAATCAGACCTTTAGCCTTGAAGATTTTGTTTACATAAAGGTAAACCTACTTATCATGAATATATTATTCTTTTGTTCATTATCTTTGGGTTGCTTTCCGCTTTTTTCATTGGGTTAAGCAAATTTTTCCATTCAAGAGTTGAAGATTGTTTTCTAGAATGTTTTGCCTTTGTTAAAAGAAGTCAAATAGCTAATCAAACGTCCATCTCCAAAATGCACCTGAATCATTTTAAGAATCTTACAGGGTGAAGAAGAAGAGAAGTATGTTGGCAAGATAGTAGAGTTTTTTAAATCAACAGATGGAGAAAGCTACTTCAGAGTTCAGTGGTTTTACAGAGCAACGGATACAGTGTGTATACCATTTCTTCTCTTTTTGCATGTTTAATTCTTTGCGCTGCAACAACTAGTTACTCATTTGTCTAATGTTTGTAGGTAATGAAACAGCAGGCTACTTATCATGACAAAAGGCGTCTCTTCTACTCTACTGTAATGAATGACAATCCAGTAGATTGTATTATTTCTAAAGTTACTGTTTTGCAAGTATCGCCTAGGGTATGCTGAGTCAAACCC